CTCCTCGAAAATGGCCTTTGGTAGTGCTGCCTGCAAGTAGCGGTGGGTATATGCATGACCTATGAAATTCGGTTTTAACTTCAGCCAGCTCTGCTTGACGCCAGCTTTCTTTTGGGCTGCCAAGCCAGCGCGCACCCCGCGGCCTAAAAGCCCATGCCAGGAGGTCACCAAGAAAGGTTGTCGCCTGCGCCCCCGGCCTTCGTCCCCGTGCCAAAGGACGGGGGCGCAGCGGGACAGCTGGATTGCGCCAGACTTTTCGAGCTCGAAAACTGGGTGCGAGGGTTTTGTCAAGCGATACTTCTCCCAGAATTCCGAAAGTATCGCGGTCTCCCGCTCAGCATTTGGCTTGAGAAGTCCTGTCAACACGTGCCAGCACCTTTGACTGAGCAGGAAGGAAAACCAGTCGCGCAGCCGCAGTATGGCATGCGAAAGCTTCTTTTTCCTCCCAAGCTTGGCAATCGGCACTGGCAACGACAGCTTCATTCTCTTTACCAAAACTCGGTGTGTGTCGCGTTCAGCATTTCTTTCAGAACACTTTGCAAGAGCGTCTACACCAGTCTTTGCAGCAGCACTCGCCCCAAAGTCACGCACAACATTTCGGGCCACCCGCACCACGGAAGAGCAGCTGGCCTCGGCGCAGGCACATGCTAAACAACAAATCAAATTTAAAAGAATTTGACCTGTGTGTATCATGTTTGCGCAGGGGCATGCTGACTAAGACAGGCGTGAATGTAGGAACGTGTTGTTGAGCAGGCACCTCTGAATCCTTTCAACGCCACTTGCCAACTCTTCAGTCAACAAGCATGTACAGAGCAAGATGTGTAATTCACACATTGCTCGGAACAGAGTTTTTATCAGCAGGGCTTTCACGCATGGCCGCTTGGCGGTCTCCGAAAAGAGCGCCAAACCATGTAGGTCATAAACAACGGATCCTCTAAGGCTTGCGGTGGCTTCACGTTGTCGCCTCCCTTCTGTATGTTGCGGCAGCCAGGCCTGCCTTGGGGGCAGCTGAATCATAGAATTAAAAGTCCCATTACTTACACAAAAGTTAGGTTGCGCAGGATTTTGCTTTTAGAAGAGCTACCAGCTGTACGCCTGTATATATAAGAAGCTGCCAAGATGCTAGAAAACTTGTCGATAAGACATGCTTCGAGAAAAGCTGGTCCGTTTGCTTCGTTGGATACAAATAAAATGATCATGCCAGACCACTTGTCCTTACTCCGGCAGTAGCCGTACAGGTCGTTGGCCCATCTCCAAATTGGATTGTGGGTAAACCCGAACTTGTAGATAAGCGGTTCATGTTTGGCGAACATGGCCTGGACCTTTCTGGTAGCGTGTTCTATCACGCGGCCTGCTGACAGGCGCTTCTGCGGGTGGCAGAATTCTATGACGCCAGAGGCTTTGCATTCAGCGATCAATTGGCTCAATTGAGAGGAATCCTCCGGAATCCAGGTCGTAGATCGGGCAGTCACAACATTAAGCGCGGCAGGCTTTGATGAGAATGAAAGGCTAGAGGTAGGCCACGGGAAAGCACCGTCAGCTTCCTGAGTTGGCTCAGAAAGTTCAGGGTTCAGGGGGTTGATATACGCAGGGTGGTTTTACCGGGGTATATGTATTTAACTGGCCGGAGTTACCGGGTTTCGGAGGCTTATAGGGATTAGCGGGTTTAGGGCTTACGGGTTTAAGGGTTTAGGGTTTCTGCATCTAGAAATATGTATATATGTTTCTCCCTTGTATAGAAGGTTCTGCCTGGAGGTTGCAAGTCTTGGAAACGCTATATACGGTTTAGGGTGTTTTGGGCATAGAGGGTTTAAACTTGCACAGGGCCTGGGGAGAATTAGGTTACAGGGGCTAAAGGGCTTAGAGGGTTTAGGGCTTAGATGGTTTCTGGTTTAGGCGGTTTTGGGTTTTGCGGCTTTGGGGTTGTATAGGCTTGTTGGCTTTAGCATCTTCGAATTTGGGCGTCAAGGCTTTCTGGGCCTGCGGAAGTCCGGTTTTAATATTCTAGAAAAATTTGTTGGATCTTTGGATTCAGAGTTTGGAGTTTTAAGGGTCCATGGGTATATGGAGCCCACACGCAAAAGGAAAACAATCCCATAACAACAAATGATCATAATCACGGCTCCTCACACGAATCAAGTTGTTCTTCTAGAAATAAGGTTGACATTGGCGATGGATGCGGAAAAAGAACACCACCTGGGCCCTGACCTTCGGACCGAGACTGCATGTGTACTTAGGGAAACTTTGCCGGCTTTTGGGGGACCATTAAAAACAGTGTGACAACTTGACGGAATGAGCTGTGTACAGGTCTGCAATACTTCCCTCAAGAAACAATTTCGATCAGCACCTGTTTGGGGACCAACTTGCCATTCTCATAGTCTATAGTACATTCCATATATGGATGAATGTGTATATGTGTACTCGCTCCACATGACAATCAAAATTTCCAGTTCCCGAATCCTTGCGTGCAAACTTAGTCAAGAAACAGACCGATGGCAAGTCAGTAGCTCCAGAAGCTCGTTGTGAACTTCATCAGAAGGTTCCGCCAGATCCATCCAGTGGAACAAACTAAAATACTAGACAGCTGGAATTGGAACTAAATCCGCAGTCGTTGAAGCAAGAACTGGTTGGTTCAATGCCGAAAGCCATCTATATACTCTTGGCCTTAGGCCCGGACACCACTGCCGATTTCTGCTGAAAGTCCACGTACTGTATGGCCTCGCTTGGGACCTGGCACGCAGCACTTGCGCACAGCCCTGGTCTGCGTAGAAAACCTGCAACCCTCACACAATGCAGCGACATGTGCCGAGGATAGTGTTTGCATCTGCCCTTGCGCGTCAGAACACACCAGGGTAATTATCCCAGATTCGCCAAGGCTTCAAGCAGACAAGTTCCTTGTCCACATCAGATGCCAGGCGCAGTAGCGTCTGTAGGTTATCCCACAGAAGCGCCCGCAACTAGAAAAGCCGCCGTAACAAGCTTTACTTCTTAGACTTCTTTGCTGCACTTCCGCCATTGCCGCCTTTCCTCTTGGGCCTTTTGGGGTTCGAATCTTCATCACCAGTCTTTGTGAGGAACTTCTTCTCATTCCTGAGGATGCCGGACGTGGGTTTGATGAAAGGCGTTTGAGGGACGTGCTGTTTTACCAAAGAATCAGTTACGCGGAATCTTGTACGAAGGGATATAGACTTCATCAAAACTTCAATCACGTATGAGGTAGCTGTTCGAATCAACATGCTTCTGCAACACAGACACTGAAGGATCCAAATGCGCAAGATTGTCTACTATTCGAGATACCCTAAACCCTGTTCATAGACAACCTATATAACCCCATATACATATAAGCCATATATATGTATAGATATATATATACCCCTAGAAACCCTACTTAACCCCTCAAGCCCTGTAATCCCAGTACAAACCCTCTATATGTATATAAATCTATTATATATATATGTATAAATATAAACCCTTTATACACCCGATAGACCCAATATATGGACACTATATGGCCCTTTATATATACGCCCTATATATATAGCCCTATATATTCCCTATATATATATTAACCCTGAACTAAACTGTGTACCTCTACAGGATTTGGGGTTTTAGAGTCCTCATGTATATAGGGTGTATCAGGGCATTAGGTTTACGGCAACCCCGTGTCCTGATCTTCGTTTCCGCGCAGCAGGCCTTGCTGGACCTTCCAACGCGAAAGATTACTTGACACCCTCCCTATATATAGGTTCGGTGGCTACGTGATGCGTCTATCAGCTACTGAGGCTCTTGCATGAAGGTTGCAGCTTTCATCTTCTGCTCAGCATCCTTGTAGAGCCTTATAAGCTGGGCCAAGGCCAAATAATGCGCCAGTTACTTTACAAAAGATCGAAGAGCATAGCTTTGAACACGAGGGGCTGCTCATTAAATCCCCAGACATTGCCCTTCACTTCGATCTCCTTGCAGATCTCGCGGTGGTTCTCCATGTGCTGGAGATGCGTCTCCAGAGTGCGCACACGCCTGAGTTAAGGAGGGGAATGAACCTGTATAGGGTCAAGTGCTCTTTTGGGTTTAGGCTTTGAAGGTTTAGGATTCAGGACATACAGGGAATGCGTACGAGAAAGTGTCTATACATATATAAAGCACAATTTACATATATACAGGGGTTCGAATGTGTCAAACTTTGGACTGCGCCGCTACATGCTACACCAGGTTGATATGCAACCGAGGGGGCTCTTGAACTTCATCTGGGTCGTAGTTCTGCTGGAGATCCTTCACGAGCTTTCTGATGCTGTTCGTTTTGCTCTGCAGGCTGTCCAAAAACTTCTTCAAGGTAGTCTGGACCTGCAGGAAAACTAGTAGATCGTACGTGGGACACAGAAAAAACATGACATGGATGACAGGATGCATTTAGTTTAGAATCTGCTATGCAGCCTGATTGAATCTGCTGTCAGCTTCCGAAACTGCTTGCGAACCATCACGATCCGGAACCACACTCTTAATCCTCGCAGCTGCGCCATCCAGGCCAGCGAAAGCATCGTCAGGAATGGCAGGTCCAGTTTCAGCCTCAATTGGTTTCATGGAATTAGCGGCTGAGGTAAGTTTCGGGTGTACATATAGAGTCTGTTCCTCGTTTAGGGGCGGGGGCGGGCGCTTTTAGGGTTGCAGCGGGGTGGCTTTCTTGCTCTCCTTCTCTTGCTGCTCCGTCGTCAGGGATGTGGTCTTGCTGCCGGATTCCCTCAAGGTAACCCAAAACTCTTCGACGTTGTCGTACTGGTTCTTCCTGCTACATATACAGGGGTTTACAGGATGAGGGGATTGGCGTTACCGGGTCTTTTGGGGTTCTAACCTTTATATACCTAAATTTGTTAGCACACGCGTAGATTTAGTTCAGGGACATAGTGAAAGCCAAATTGAGGACGTCGTCCAACGACTTATTTAGAGCCGCCTGACGCAATCAGGAGTTGTCCGGCACTGCTTGACAGCGCCTGCGATACGTGTCCTTAGAGAATATAGTGAAGCGGAGTAGGCAAGGTTCTTCTATTGATTGAAGTGTTTTGGAAAATGCACGTGGTGTAGGGACCTGGCGCGCTCCATTTCAAATCAGTCTTCATTTCCATCTCACTGTACCATCCCTGATCCACAAGGATCTTGATCTTGGACTTGCGAGTCACAATGATGATGATCTGTGCGCCAAACTGTGCCTGCAAAGGCTTTGTAAAGGGGCCCAAATACGTTTACTTTCCAGAGGGTGTTTTTGAACAGGGCTCGAAAATACAAAGATGGAGATGTTAAGGGTTTGTGTGGGGTCTTTTCGGGTATAGATGTTAGGGGCGACCAAAGGTCTTTTCGGGAAGATGCTACGTCAAGAGTCCTTGTTGAAATTCATGTCACGGAACAGATCCGACATTTCCTGTCTGTTCCCGGCCAACCAGTGATCACGAACTTCTTTGGGTGCTTCGAGGTGCTTTTGCTTCATTTTCGGTTGAATCCAACGCTGAAGCCGCGCTCGGGCAGCCAGAGACAATTTGTCCTGTAGATATGGATTGAAAATGTTTCTGGTTTTGGGAACTCCTAAAATTCAGGGGCGGTGGGCACGCTGGCTTTTACCAGGGTTATACATCTAAACAGCTTATTTGTCGGAATATGTGTATATATATAGAAGGGGGCTATATATATATATGTATATAGGGTTGCCCGTACCCTACTAAACCCTATAAGCCCTAAATGCTGTAGAAGTACATGTGTATATGCCCGAAAGCCTATCTAAACCTCCCGAAACCCCAAATAAACTAACTGTGACTTTGCGTGGGCCCTGCCCCACCTATTAACAACCTGTAATTGGGGTCATATAGTAAAAGCTACATACCTTCATATATATGAATCTATTACCCAGTTGTTAATGAGTGGGGACGATATCTAATATGCAACTATAGATGTAACAACCTTCATGAGGAATCCACCCTTCAGTCACTGTTGAAGGACACACCCTTGAGGAGCAAAAGATATTGTCCTGGCGAGTCAAAGGCTTCTTGTACTTTCCCTGCTGAAGCTTCCCTGTGCCCTTCTCAGGGCCTACGTCGCGGTTTGCGCGGGCTGGTGTGGCAACAGGCCGGATATTCGGCGGTGCAACATGGTCCCCGGGTTCTCCATCCAAACTACCACAAGACTCCTGCAATTTGGATCTCATCGCATCATCATCCAAATCCTTAGATACCACATAATGTGCTACAAAGTTTGTGCACTGCAAGGCACCGCCTTTACCATGCCAAGAAGACCCATGCCTTAATTAGATTAAACTTCCCAACCATATATATAATCTTGTAACATGTGATATTATAAGAAAATATCTACGCATACCTATATATATACATATATGGGACATGAACAAACCCTGATAATTACAGAGAGAATGCATGGGTCTTCTTGCCATAATCTTTACCCATTCCCTTGACAAGCTGCCTCCAAATTGAGTACCTTCTCAGTGGGGTCTGGGACACTCAAGCACCGTGCCAGCTGGAGTTCTTCGTCAGTGGCCTCCCGCAACAACAAAGAGTTTCGTCCCGTAATAGCATGCATGGTCCCCCTGTCTTGGCACTAAGCATCTATATATCTACATATATGCATATATATGTAGGGGCTTCGGGGCTTCTGGACCTATAGCTGTGTCAGGTACATGAGATCCCGTATCCAGCTAGCAATTAGGCCACTGCGGAAAAAAAAACCGTGAATTTAACAAGCACAAATACAATCACTCAACTACCACGTAGAACCCGGGTATCAATGAAGACAGGAAGCCGGCACAGTCTCTTGAAGTGCTACTGTTCCGCAGGCATCCTTGGACGCAGCCATGGAAGCCTGCAGATCAGGAGCAAATGGGTTACAGGGAATACAATGGAGAGCGGATGATGCATCCCGTCAATCTAGGGGCCAGCTGGTGACTTTCTCGGGAGTCCTCCTCGCGGATTGAAGCTTCCAGCTCCTGGTAGGAGGTTCAGGAAAAAAGGATTTGGGAAGCGAATGCACAACAGTCGGTGTCCTGCAACTCCAGTTCTAAACGCCGTTCTTCAGCATCTAGAAGTGCGAGGTCAGCTTCAATACCAACATGTTGAAAACCAGCAAGCAAGGTGCTGGTGCTCCAAACTTTGGACTGCACCGGGTCACTCATGGTTTCCCGCGAAAACGTGTCACTGAGAACCGAAGACTGCATGAGTATTGGAACATTCACTCCAGAAGCCTTGCGCAGGATATGCATTCGGCGTGAACACTACGTGGGCACGATGAGGCGCGTCTTCTTTTGGGCTTGCAAGTGGCGTGAGTAATCCCACGGTGACACAATATATGCACCCGAACGTTGACGGCTTGTCTATTGCCCATGAAAAGTGAGCTAAACTGCGCTTGGGATTTTCTAGTAAAAACCCATATTTTAAATAGGGGTTTTTATGGGGGATTTATGGGTTTTTTATGGGTTTTTTACGGGTTTCCCAAAACCTGGTTTTTGGGCGCAAGGTCAGAATACGGGTTTTTACGGGTAACATATACGGGTTTTTACGGGTAAATTTTCGGGTTTTCACTAGTAAAATCCGGGTTTTTACGGGTGTTTTACGGGTAGCCTGGGGTCCCAGAGAAAAAAAATCCAAAAAAATGCTTCAAAATCAACATGAAGCCCCAAAACTCGTAAGAAAACTATAATTTCGAACCACTTCCCTCACATAAAACTATTCTGAGATATACGGGCCTCAATCCTTTCCAGTGCTCGCGCTTTGTACAACATCTAGAACATCCCAGAGTAGCTGCAACCCCAAGCCGTCACATCTTCTTTAGAATTAAGCAAAGGATTTGTAGCCTCAGGCGGTAGCCGGGGCTTCTGGAAACGAACGCGGGATCACTTCTTTCCATTCTGCAGGTAGCTGCAGGGTGGCCCCTCCCCGAAGGTAACGAAACACATCCTTCAGATCACAGAAGGACCACATTTCGGGATCACTGCCGTAACTCATGGATTCAAAGATTTCTATAGCGGACGGCAGATCAGCGGGCAAGCTTAGCCTGCAGGCCATGGTTGCCTTTAAATATGGAAACTTGTTTGCCAGGTGGCGAGCAAACATCATTGGATAATGCCTGAGCAGATCGAGGCAGTCATATATAGTCAGGGACTTTTATGTTTTTTGTTGTTCCTGCGGGTCTTGTATACTCAATGTTCTACATGGGGATGGATCCGAAATCAAGTTGATCAAGCTGCTCCGTTTCTCGAAGCTCCGCAGTGCCCTGGTAGGAAACCGTTCCATCCTGCTTCCGTTTGCGTGTAGCCGTAGCCACCTTTGTCTTGAAGCTTGCAATGCGCAGTTTCCCTTTATCCAGGCAGGAGATTCCACGGGCATTGGACCAGCAATAATGACGTTTGGGTGTCGCCGAATTGTAATGCCCCATCCACCAGGCACAGCGAAACACCTCAGAAGAGATTTAAGACCCGAAACCACCCCAAACTTGTGGCAAGTCGCCCCGTACCCCCCACCCCCCCCCAACCCCCCCCTACCCCCCCCTACCCCCCCCCTACCCCCTGCCCCCCCCCACCCCTACTGCCCCCCTTCCCCCTCCCCCCCTACCCTCCTTGTTTGCCCTCCCCCTTCACCCCCCCCAACCAACCCATAAAAGGAACCCCAGTAACGTTCAAACCCCTTCCACATCTTTTTGGAGGATAACACCTTATATAACATATGAGAGATATGGCAGTTGGGGAAAAACGTCGCATGAATCTGCCCAGCTGAGTGGCAGCAGGGCGGTGCACAAGGAAATAATGATGCAGGAGGAGAGCACGAAAGGCAGGGTAGTACTCAAGAAGAGAGCCGGATGGCTGCTCCAGTAGCCATACTCCCCCGCAAGTGGTGATGAGGTAGAGGAGCAAAGTTGTTCTGGGAGCATGTTTACTGATTCGGGGTCCCCACGTCTGTACTCCATTGGGATGAAAAGATCTGGGATTGCTTCAAAACATCTACACCATTTGAGAACCCAGGCCTCTCCAAGAGCTGGTTTGCTTCCCGCACACTAGGATAAGCGTCAAAGCCCAGGGCAGCACAGTCACACCTCTTTGACGTGCCTCTGTTCATCTTAGAGAATGAACTACACTTGATGGCCAGCAGGGCCATGAAATCGTCTTGTTTGCAGTGGAGCATACAGACGCAAGCAAGCCTTACTTTCGGAGTGATCCACGTCCAACAATTTACACTAGTTTTCGGAGGTGTTTCAAACGGGTACATGTGTGAATATACACAATTTCCACCCTTTATATACATATATATAGACTATAGGATATATATATATAAGTACATATTTGTAGACAGTGTGTGGCAGCTGTGTATATACACACATGTACCCATTCTGACCTACGCAGGTCAAGTTCGTTCAGCACGCAACCTTGTGTTCTTTTTTTTAGCGCATGAAAGCACAACAAATCTTTCCAATGCTACTGAAGATCAAGAACCCGCTGGCTGTCGTCAGGTCCATGAAGTTCGTAGGATGCTTACCCTTCTTAGCATACTTCACATCTAGTCGTCCTGCTCGGAAACCTTTCTGAACGAAAGAAAAGGTAGCATTGGCCCGCCCAGCGAAGACTTCCATAAATTGAAACACCTTCAGGCAACACAGGGGCAGAACTTGTACTTCCCGGCCAATTTCACCTTTCCCAAACGTCTTCAATAAAGCAACCCGTGATGAATACCCAACATGTGGTTCCCACTCTCGCCCTGTGTTATACATACACCCAACACATATTAGACAGGACGCCTTGTGAGAACCCCTGGACCCTATGACCCTAAATCCGCGAACCTTATATAGATATACATATATATCTATATTTATATACGTCATGTAGGTATACGGGGCACCGGTACTGACTTGCTACTTTGGACTTTGTTTCCATTCCTTCCTTCCCTACTAAAACCCTTTTGAGGCGTCTCCCTAAGCCCCCAAACCTAAATACAAGTATATTTATGTATATATACATATACACACCCCAAATTCCTCAACCCCATAAGTATATATGCATATATATATACACATAGTAATTGCAACCCTGCAACCCCTTTGTAAGCCCTATATATACACCTTCAATCTGTAAGCTCTGTATATCTACATTTGTATATATATATGTACACAAATACATCCTATGCAATCCTTGTAAACCTAACTTTTCCACTACAGGCCATGTGCTTGAGCTTACTAGGGAGAATGTATATTTTTAACTAGGGTCGTGAGAACTGGGGAACCAAAACAAGGTAGGCACCCGGGGGCTTGAGGTGGTCGTCAAAATGCTTTCTCCTGTTGGCCCTCTACAACACGTGTATGAAAATGCGTAGAATGAGAATCCGTATTCTACATCCTATAAGCCCTGTACTATATATATATATCCTAAACCCTATATTTATATAAAGCCGGGAACCCCTCTGACCTCCACAGGTGGCTCGTTGCAAGGAGCGCTGAACATCAAGAGAACGAGGCACAGAGCGAACTCCTGAACGGCAGTCACTTGTAGGGTCAAGGGACCAGGTTCAGAGGCAATTGGCTTGGGATGGTTTGTATATATGGTTTATATAGGGTTTATAGGGTTTGGTGCTGTATGGGCTGTACGTTGTTCGCAGACTTTTCGTGTGTATGCTACATACAAAGTCTTTTACATGGCTTATACCCACATACGGGAAGTGGCCTTGGGAAAGACTTGCGCAATTATCTTGTTCACGATTACAAGAATCATCCCTGGGATTTGGGAGGCCTTCAAGCTACGGTCTATATAGGGCTTATACGACGTAGATATACGTATGTGTCTATATATATAGCTTGAGGGGTTATAGGGCTATATATATATATATATACAGGGTTAAGGGGTTGTAGGGGTTATAGGGCTGTATATTTGATCTTAATTAGGTCCCTTCAGAGCACGGATCCGACAAGGGACCCCCTGGTAAGTACCTTTAAACCTGAAAACTGTTGTTGCCTCGCCTTCGGCACCTTGAGCGCCCGCAAACCCCAGAGCAACGCATTCAGAGCGATCATTGAGGGATCCTATACAAACCTGATTGCAGAAGCTCGGCAGAATTGCTGCAGATCACCACACATGACCAAAGTAGCTCTGAGCATGCCACAGCACGTTGCAGGCAACATGTCAGCAGTACCAGCCATCTGCCCGAAAGCCCTCTTTGCGCTGCAGCTGAACCCTTAATACCTCTATATAGTCTATATATAGCTATATATAGCACATTTGAAATAGGATAAATGGGATTCATTTCTGCCAAGAAAAACAATTGATCGGGGAACCAATTCTTAAACCCCTGAATTGCAGATAAAACGTGTCTGGCCAAGCCCTTCTTCTCCAGGCGCTCAGCACGAAGCTTGGCAATGATGTTGGGACGAGGACGGTTGAACTCGGCGCGGCGTGGTTTTAAGGAGTCTGCTGGGAAACAGGGCAATCGAAGGAAAGGAGTGGGAACCGGCATTTGGGGTCATCTATATATATATATATACTTTTATTTACACATTCTATTGGGCAAATACAAAACTGCTTAAGCTTAATATGGGGACAGTACATGGTGACTACATAGCCCAGTCATTTCACGGGCAACGAAATGAACAAGCAGATCTGTCTGCATTTGCTAGGCTTGCACGCATGCCATTTTGTGCAGTTTTTTTCTGCCTAACCGCTTCCCCCTTGGATCATACTGCACGACTGCTTGAGGGAGCGCTTCCTGGCTCGCTGCCTGAAGCCTCCGCATTCTGTAAACGCTGTACGAAGGGCCAAAAGCCATCTAGCTCGTAAAGATCCCAAACGTTGTTTGGATTTCTTACCCACGCGCTGGCCACTCTGTTAACATCTGAAATACCATCTTGAGGGCAGTACATACAGCTAAAGGTAACTTCACTCGGATTGGATATTGATAAACCTTGTGGGGGGGGGGGTGTATTTATACAATACAGGGCAAACAGAAACCCACTTTACAGGGTAACCCTTGCGCGCCAAAGTCATCCAAGCCAGGCAGCATTGTCACACCCCTTGACAGGCTGCATTGCATTACAGCCCTGTCAGTGACCGTGCACCCATGCGAAGGATGGCGTGGTATACTTGACAAATACCCTGTCTCATTGAAAAAGACTGAGAGCTTAAGCTTTCAGGTAACGGATGCTCATGATGCAAGATGATCACTCCTCAAGCTTTCGCACGTACTGCCTCGCGAGCTTGTCCGTAGCCTTCTGAATGTTATCACAATCCACGTTCATATTCGACATCTCCTGCATGCTGAAGTTCCAGAAGGGCACCTGTAGGAGACCAGGGGTCTGGATAACTTGCACGACTTGCATTCAATGAAATCGAGAGGTATGAGGGTTCAGGGTTTATATGTTCATGGAAAGCCTGGTTGCGGGACATAAGAATTCAGAACACAAGCTATGTAGTCTAGAATTCTTGTAGCTAGATTCACCTACCTCGTGGATGCCGGGCGGGTCCTTCTTGGGCTTGACAAGGCGGTTAAAGGATGAGCGCAGCGCGGTCCAGCGAGCTTTGGGGAACTCTCTGGTAGGCTGGTATCTTCGAGCGAAAGTAGTGGGACCGTCTGTGTCCTCTTCCGGTTCCTCCTCTGGAGCCTCCTCAGACTCCGCATTCTTGGTCTTCTTTGTCTTGTCCTTTGCCTTTCCCTTGTTCTTGGCCTTGGCTTTTGCCTTGGCCTTGCCTTTCGCCTTTGGCCTGCCCGCCTTCTTGGAAAGCTTCTCCTCGTCAAGCTCACCATCCACATTCGCATCCTCGTCAGCCCCAGTCTCTGAGGCCTCGCCTTCGGCCTCAGCCTGTCCACGACGGTGCTCGCACCACTCCTCGTAGGACTTAAAGCCCCTCCACGCAAGCCACTCGTCCCACTCGTCATCGGTCCACTCAAAGGACTCTGAGGCATGATCGTGCCCTCCATCAACAGTGTCTCCAGAACCACGGCCTCTTCCACGGCCGCCTCGACCACTGCGGCCGCGACCGCGACCACCGGCGCGTCCCCCGCGACCACAGCCACGACCTCGTCGAGGAGCATCGCCTTCGTCAGCGAGCTCATGCACCTTGTCCTCCTGCTTGCCATCGTCACCCTTCCTGGCCTGCTTCAGGCTCTGGCGAAGTTTGAGCTGATGCTTCCTGTCCACAGAGTCAGCGCTCGCTGCCTACACAAAACTGCATGCGGATTAGAAAGTTTTATCTGAAATTCTGAAATTATTTTTGATTCTGGCTATAGTACATCGAAAACTAATTTCCTAATACGGGAACGAAATGCACAACCCCTGTAAATGCCTTTTCAACATGAGGCCAGATGATGCCGCAACTTCTTATTTAAAAAAATCCTGCGCCTTCTCATCAGGTGTGAAAGGGTCTGTGGAGGCACGCGCATTCGGGTCAAGGGTTTCGGGCGTGTAGGGATTGTAAGGTGGCCGGGGCTTGCTGGTCCTGGGTCGCTTTGATGCACGCTGGTACTGCTCTCGCAGCGTGTCCGTTTTCAAGGCTGGGCTGTCACTGCGCTTCTTAGTCGATGAAGGCGGGGATGGGGCTTCCATCACATTATGGGGCAACGTTTCATCCTGGTCACCAGCACGCGGCGCGGATGCTGGCTCAAAGGTGTCTCCTTCGCGCAAGCGCACACATGGAGCCATGCTTGCAGTCCAAAAACTAACGACGCATACCATTTGGATTTAGACACTTCAAATAATGTTTGACCTATATAGTGTTGGGCCCCCCTAACAATATAATGCCTTCAGATAGATAGAAATTAAGGTCCGTCAATAAAGGCCCTCAGCGTCCCACATTTCTGAGGTCTCTGTGGATGGCCTTAAAGCGGAGGGTTGTGATTTGTCCTATAGATTCTGAAAAGGGCCCACCAATCAAAACGCATTATAGCGGACCTCACACCCTTACCCCTGATCCTCCATAAGCGGGCTCCAAAACACATTGTAGAGGAACTTCAAGCAAAACCGGGTCCAACAATACTACCTGTATATATTCATTGTGTGTAGCTCCTACATCTCCCGCCGTCCAAAACGTAACCTTAAAGCAACCGAGGTGGCTTGCAACCCTAGACCCTAAACCCCTAAACCCCTATAAGCACTCAACCCTATATATATATATAAACCCCTAAACCACGTTTGCTAGCGTTCTTCATCATAGAATCCTGAATATCAAGAGTTGGGCACTTTCTTTTCCAACATGTTGCAGATGTGGCCCTAATTTGCAGAAACTTCCAATCAGGTTGTATAGAAACGTCCCCGTCGGAGTCCTGGCGTAGCTGTCGCGGCACCAGCGACCAACTGGCTCTTGCGAGCCCGAGTCCTTGCCGTGGGGCATCGGTGTGCTAGATGGTGATTTTTGAAAATCACGCTTCAGGCGTTAGGCCTATATTCGAGGTTAGTACCCAACTCAGCCGCGGACTGCTCGATCTTCTCCCTCAAGGCTTGCAACTTGGCCAACTTCTGCTGGCGCTCATCGCCTGAGAATGTATATGGAAGGAGGCTACGGAAACTTCATGGGATTCATGGGTGGTCACGCGCATAAACATCAAAGAGATGCCAGCAAAAACTGGGGATGATACTGGAAGGGGAAACTGCAGGCATGAACGTCACCTTCCCCACTCCAACCGGCGGTGCTGTGTCTCCCTCAGCTGTCTCAGATGCATTGTTTTGCGGCGGTGCTGTGTCTCCCTCAGCTGTCTCAGCTGCATTGTTTTGCAGCGGTGTTGTGATTCCGTCAGCTGTCTCAGCACCATGCCCGTCACAACCACCCGGCACAGTCGCAGCCACGCCTACACCCTCGCTGGATGGTGGAGGAGAGTCCTCCACCATCTCCACTTTCACTGGCTTCGCAGTGTTTGCATCTTCGGGCTCGGCTTCAAGTGGCTGCGATTCAAACTGGGAACCAGCCACCACAGCTTTGGCACTCGTTGTGAACTCGTTCAGCAAGCCACACAGGTCATTTCCTGCAGGACCATCTCCATCATCATCATCCGATTCATCGTCCTCTGAAGCCTGAACATGCAAGCCTCTCAAAACTCGAAGCAAAAACAAACTGCCGCCATTGAGTTGAACTTGCCTGCGGGTCCTTTCCAGCAGCAGCCTTCTCAGCCTCCTTCTTGGCCTTCATCTCGTTGATCATATCGACGAGTGCCTGTCACAGACGGCGGGTGGGAATTTAGCCGTTGTTGCTTTGAGTCGACATTGTCACCCTGCAAAGTGGGTGGCATCGCTTTGTATATAGCCATGGCACCTGAAGGTTAGGATCCAAGATGAGGCATAATTTCTGGAATTCCACCTCCTTAGATTGCCATGAGGCTCTGCGAGACTGTAACCAAATCAAATCATGTCGTGAGGATGCTCATGATGCTTTCACGAGCTAATGCATGACAAGCTACTTCGCTTGGCTCATTGCGCCGAGCTTTCATCTTCACAAAGCTGAGGTTCTTGCGAATCACCCTGCTGAACTCGATCACATGCTTCTCTTCAGGCTCCCTTTTGCTCAACTGAAGCAACTTAAAGACCTCTTCACGAATGAACTCAATTGCAGGAAGCTTCCTATTGGCAACCTCGCGCATGCGCTTGAGAACAGGTGCAAGCACATCGTTGTACTTGCTAGTGGTCTTAAGGTCCACATTCTTGTCAGGAACCTCTGCGATGAGAACCCCCCCTTCTCGCATCCGTTGGCGGATACTAGGAATAGCGTCCCACTCCCCAGACAGCCCATCCAGGTCGCAGGCCATTGCCATGCTAAGTATCAACAGCTGAAAGTTCTAACACCTCTAAACAATTGGACCTGATTGAGAATTTGCAGCGGGCCCGGCTCACGTTTGATTGCGCACCCAACAGCAAATTTGACACGCAGGACCGCTGGGATCCTGACCTTCATCTGTCAGCCATTGCGGGCAAAATGCCATCGTTGCAGGGCAGGGAACATGCGCCATGGTGGCGCCAGACAGTTGCGACTATACTGTTGCACTTTCTATAAACCCCACATAATGTCCGATACTGTACAAGCCCTCTACCAAAGTCTACGACCCTCGTTGTTTCAAGTGAGTATCCTGTTAGTCCTCCATTCAGAAACATTCCTTGGAAGAACAGTTTACAGCTTTTGTACAGGACCCTCACAGCAGACTCCGATCGGTAGACGTATATACTGCTTCTTTGCAAACCTTAACTTGCTCATCGCAAGTAGATTGCCTTCCCCAACTAAGATCTATATACCATAAGAAAGTCCACTCATATACAATCGCCCATCCCCACTACATCATCCCAGGCTTTGGGGTTCACCCTCGAATGCAAAGCGGTTGAGGATAACTACCGACATCTTAAAGTAGTTGTGCAGAAGTGCTATGAAGTATGAAATGTTATTCTTCCCGGGCTTCACCCCTCGCTGCTGCTCCCCATTGACAGCTTCTGAGATCCACGGCAGGCAACGCCTGAATTAGATGAATTTAGGGGATTATACGGTTGATGCTAAAGATCCTGCATGACCTTATAATATATATATATATGTACACTATATAGTAATATATAGCATTATAATTCCCAAGGTATATAAGGTATATAGCTACACAGGGTCATGCAAGACTTTTAGTATCCTCCGTAGGCTTATATATTGTGGGTGGGTTTAGGGCCCCAAAGTAATGCTAAGGTGACGAGAGAGGTTTCGGGATGCTTTCAGTCTTGGAGTGTTCCCAACATATAATGTATGAGGGCTCATGTTGAATGTCCTGGAAAGTGGAGATTTCCTATGTTCCAGTAGAAACCAGGTTTTTTGGGGAATAACCCGGTTTTCGGATAATTCTGGCCCATAACGGGGTTTTGAAGCTGGAACCCGTTTTTTTTAGGGTTCGAGATTCTCTAGGTAGTCAGGAAACCCTATCCTTTACTATATGACCACATTATGGTATAACTTATATTAAGTTCCTTAACAGCAACCCAGTCAAGCCAGGTGCCGTGGAAGTTGTGCAAGTACTTTTAGATGCACGTGCTGATAAGCCTCATGGCCGAACCAGCTTAAATCACGCGGTTTAGGGTTTAGGGTTTATGGTTTTGGGTTTGGGGTTTAGGGTGTAGGTTTGAGGTTTAGGGGCCTGCATAATTAATTGCAAGTTGGTTTAAGGGTGCCTAGACCGACTGGTTCTTAGTAGGGAATAAGGGAATACACATATTCAATAGATATTATACGGGCCATAGTCTAAACTCCTGCTCTCCCCCGTAATGAGCCCTATAATACTCCCCTATATAATCCCCTATATAACCCCCTTGAGGAGTTTAGCCTACAGCTCATACAGGGATACTAGTCCCTTATTCCCTACTAAGAACCAGTAAGTACAGCCCTAGAAAGACAATGTTCGAACCATCTTCCTATCCAGCTGGGCTCTTGGACTAAGGTTTAGGGTTTAGGGTTGTTGTTATACCCTACACCCTACACCCCTAAACCCTTGTTGTCTTATGGCATTGTAAAGGTCCTGCCTGTCTGTTCTGATGAGAGACCTAGCACTGCCCAACTTGAAAACCTCCCACGAAATGGTATAGATATTTGGTGGTTTGGGTTTAGGGTTTAGTTTCCCTAAACAGGGGGACCCCAATATAGACTTCAAAATGCTGTAACTCTTAGTGTTGGGACCCCCCAAAATGGTATCCCAAAATTCGGGAGAGCCCCATTTGGGACTTTACAGCTTTGATTTCCCCCAATCTAGAATGGAATCCATACAGCTTCCTCTTTGCAAGGCTTTTTAAAAAGTATTTTGCGGGAGGGTACTGAGATCCGGAAATCCTTTTGGGGGTCGCGTGGTCCATCCTAAACCCTGCACCCTAAACCCTGATCACCGATCCTTAAACCACGAGCCCTAAACCCTAATCCCTAAACCGTGAACCTATTCCCTAAACCCTATTCCCTAAACCCTAATCCCTAAACCCTAAACCCTAATCCCTAAACCCTAATCCCTAGACCGTGAACCCTAGACCCTGTTTGGCTAACCGGCTCTTAGGCTTTGGGGGTCGGATGTTCAGGGGGCTCAACAGGTGGGATCAAGGTAGGGTTTAGGGTTTAGGGGTTTAGGGGTTAGGGTTTAGGGTTTAGGGTTTGGGGCTTGTTTCCTATACCCCGCATTCCTATGTGTTCCATCCTGAAGGATGTGGATTACCAGCTGTAAGGGTAAGCCAGAGGCCTTATGTTTGGTGTTCAGGGGATAAATCCTGCCCGTTGGGTAACCAGGTACTGCCCCCCTCATTAACACTTGTATAGTATTTATAATACAATTACATATGGCAAGTTAATCTGACCTCTAGTATAGACTGTTGGGGGATTTTGTGACAAGAAAATGAAAATTATATCTGAAGTCCGTCGCAGGCTCCTCTTGCATGAAATTGACCAGACCAGAACCCTTCCACAGTCTGTTCATTGAACTTGTGATTTTCACCCTGAAGCTCTACACCCACGGTTTAGGGTTTAGGGTCCTCAACCCGAGGCTGCAAGTCGTGAAATAGTACCTACTTCCCGGCCCTAAAATCTATATTGTAGCTACGTAGACCCTTAGGGTTAACCTAAACCCTTACGTCACTGACCGGACAAGCTACCCTAAACCCAAAATCCTAAACCCGAAACCCCAATATAACCCCAATATAAGTCCCAAGATCCAAGGTTCACTGCGACTTAAACCTTGTAAAAGGTAATAAGCGCATTGGCTTCCATAAGCCCTCAGGCCCCCCAAGAAAGGAAAGGTTTTAGGGTTCAGGGTTCAGGCTGGTAGAAGTAGAGTTTAGGGACTAGGGTTTAGGTCTGTAAAAGCTGAGCAAGCAAGCACCAGAGATGTTCTGCTGTGCTTGGAACACTCACCGGACCATCGTAGGATAGAACTTATTACCGCCCTAAACCCTAAAGCCTAAACCCTAAACCCTAAACCTTATTCCAATTCAAAGAAGACTGCCCTGGACGACCCTTCCAGGGTCTGACATGGTTGTGGGCTTAGGGTAGTAATGTGGGGGATTCCCAAAATTAGGGGTACCCTTTTGGGGGTCCCCTATTTTAGGAAATTACCATGTCAAATGCCTAAACTGGAGCAGCCAAAGTCTTGCATGCCAGTACTTGGCTGGGCGGTTTAGGGTTTAGGGATTTGTCTTCACGACCTTTTAACCAGGAATTTGGTTGACAACGATGGCAACTCACCCCTGTTGCACGCCGCTTTGAACAGGCGCAGCATTTAGGGTTGCGGATTTATGTGTGCAGGGGTTAGGGCTGGGCTTGCTTAGGGGGGCAGAATACAGAGTTTTGAAGTGAAATCAGATTGCCAAGTGTCAGCTTCTCATCGGGGTCCTATTCTCAGCTTTAGGATTGAGGGCTAAACCCCTTAAAGGGGTTATATAGGGGACAACTAGAGGGCTTTTAAAGGGCGATACTAGGAGGTTAGACTATAGCTCGTGTGTGTTCTATGTTGCCCAAGCTCCAAGCAACACAAAGTACCTGAAAACTCGTGAATTCTTCAAACCGTCAGCCAATACCTTAGCCCGGAATTCCTGGAATCCTCTGCACCTTATCCGCAAGAAATCGATGTACAAAACAGTTTGCTTTTTGCAGAAAACGCAGTTTCTCAAAAAAAGGGAGTCCCAATATAGACCCAAAAATATTGTAGTCCTTACTCTAGGGACCTCCAAAAAGGTACCTCTGGTTTTGGGAAACACCGTAATGGTTGTAGAGACTTGAGCCCCAAACTCAGAACCCTAAACGCTGAACCCTATCCAATTGTTATTTCAGGGAACCCCCAAGAAGGTACCCCTGATTTGGGGTTACCATCAAATCTACATCACATCCCACAGCTGCTCTGGCCCGAAGACCCAAGAACCTCGGCCCTCAAAATGAACAACCTTGGCCCTCAAAACGGGCCTAGGGTTTGGGGTTTAGGGTTTAAGGGCTCAGGGATACGGGTTTAGGGTGCTACTGCGAGAGACTGCGCACTTTGATTGTCCAGGCTCACGAATACAACACCCTTGGAGACCGGATTTCACTGTTTAGAAATTGTGGTCCCTTTTTGGTATCCTACATTTATTTGGGGCCGTATTGTTCCAGGGACCGAAGTCTAGTTTCTTGTTTGATCAACGCCAGTTGCCGCTGTTCTCTCAAGCACGCTTGTCTCGCTTAGCACGCTTACCCTGGATGATGCTAATGTGTTTTCAAAGCCATTTGTATACTGCCAAGTTGTGACGACGGGCCGAACCCCGACCTCAATCCTCAAATCCTTAGACAAACTTTCTGAAAATTGAAAAAGCTAAATCCTAAACCTTTCAAAGCAACCCAACCCAGAGACCCTGTGCAAGAGCATTATGCAGGTATGACAAGGGTGAAACAGAGAAGCCCGAGCCGTATTAAAGGAGTCAAGAAAAATCCACTCCTCCACTCCAAGGGCACGCACCTTAAGGCCCCTAGGGGTACATAGGGGAACTCCTTGATATAGGGGACAGCTTCGGGGCAAAAGACGTTTCCAGTAATGGAAATTCATGGACAAGAAAGCGGAAAACGAAATGGAGACAGAAATTATATGGGGGCTTAGAGGGTAATTGCAAAGTAGGAAATCCCAGATGAAGCCCAAACCATATGAGACTCTTAGCCAGAGGGGCACGCAAAAACAACCCAAACGGTAAACCTCTAAGCCATGTAGCTCCAAGATACAGGCGTCTC